AAAAAAAAAAAAAAAAAGGAAGGGGCAAAGAGGAGCTATACACACTTTGGAATATCAAGACTACAATCCTCACCAATAGCGGTAACACAAACTTGTCATCCCAGCACTCAGGAGGCCAAAGCAGGAGGATCACCATGAGCTCCAAGCCAGACTGGGCTACATAGTGAGTTCAAGGCCAGCCTGAACTACACTGTGAGACACTGGCTCAAAGAAAAAAAAAACAAAAAGCCACAATACTCATACAAACACTCGAAAGATATATAAAATAAGGAGATAGTAAATTTCACATATCAAAGTATTGCTGTCTACTACAAAATGTGCAAACATTTTTAAATGAAAGCTTTTTAAATAGCAATTAATCTTATTGGGAAAAGTCCTACACATCTAAATAATAAAACAGGATCATATTGTTTCATTAAAAATATGAAACTTTATCCCATCTTCATTCTCAAGACTACAATTCCATATGGAAATGTGGTTATATTTCTGCCTCATATCGGGCATCTGATACCCAAGAAAACTGTGATAAACATGATACAAAAATAGTATTATGATAAATACTCTGATACAGTCTTTGAAACATAAGGTATATAGATCACTCAAACTTGTTAGCAGTCACCATCACACAATATTTACAATGCTCAGAGACTAGGAGAAAAAGGTTTGAGATGGCTTCAGAAGTTACTCATTTCTGTAGCAACAAATTAGAAAACAAAATTAACATCTTCATTAAGGTCTTGAAAACAAGTGGAAAAAAACCTCTGTGGAAAAAGAAATCTTTGAAACTTCCGGAGAATCAGGGCTCCATGACCCTCAATGAAGTTTTAGAGCCCAGTCTCATCTTTCTACTGCAAATTTTCCAGGAGCAAACATAGGCAACAGACTTTCAAGTTACTGGGTTTGCTGTTCTTCTTGAAGTCCATCTCCCTTGCACTTTAACTTGTATTCCAACACACTTACCCTTAAAACACATATACCAATTCTCATCAATCTTGTGATCTTTTATCATTCTATTTACCTACCAGTACCAAAAATAAGATATTACAGTTTTGTTTTGAATATAAAACATACCCAGTGGTATATTACACTGTGTACAGAAGTTCTAAAAAATTTAAGTTTCTTCAGGAAAAAGTTCTACAAATGGCCTAATATTTAAAAAACGAAAACAAAAAACTGGACTCTTAAACTGTAGATTGGATTTGCAGGGCCATTCCAAGGCCACTGCTCAGGAGCAAGGTGAGAGATCTCATCACCAATGCTGAAGAGAATGGAGAGGACTGGAGAAGAGTCACAGTGACCCTAAGCCTCTGTAAACTTCTCCATCATCGGGACTGGCCCAGGCCCGGGCAGAGAAGAAGTGAAACTCGGGACCACAGACAGAACAATACTCTCTAAAAAGTCAAGGCGGGCCCAACGTGAGAAATTGGTGCTCTAAGAGGGTAGAAGCACCAGAGCTGAGTGTGGCAGTTTCTCCCTGGTAGTACAGGCATTTCAAGAATTCACAGAGGGCATGACAGTTATTCATGGCCATCAAACACTGATCAGCAATCAGAAAACATTTCAAACATATGTCCCTTATTAACATAAATGAATAACACACTTAAATAAGAGATTTGATGGATGGAAGCTCTAGTAACATGAAACCCACAAGGAGAAATAAGAAGGATCTTTGGCCATTAAAATTAAGGCTGAGAATCAGAGCTTTTATTATACTTATGCTTCTACTCAACAATCTTTCTTCTAATTTACAGAAACAGACTTCCTTTCAGGGTGTAAAAAGACTGTTAAAATTCAGAAAGTACCATCTGCAGTAGAAATAACATCTCAGACTCTGGAAAGGTACAGAGCTTAGGAGGTGGTGCTGAGAGGAGAGAGATCAAGTTACCCCGGACTACTATCTCACCCCAGGTGTGTCCAATAGGGTCCCCTTGCAGAGAGCTCAGAAGGGGAATAGGTAAAGGGCAAAGGGGAAGCTAGGACAGCCTTCAGATAAAACCAGATTTGACAGTGAGGAAAGGATAAACACAGCTCAACAGAAGCCTTGGCCACACCGTAGGGGAGCCCAGAGCCGGGATCCCTAGGAGCAGGTCCCTGCGTTGGTGAGGAATGACTCAGCTCTAGCATCACCACTGTGCTGAGCCACTGGCTGGCATCAACACAGAGAAGACAGGGCACAGCCTCAGTGTAAATGCCGTATCAGATCCCAGAGGAGTGGAGCTAAAGGCTATGGCAACTACACACCTTCCAGCATTATCTCAGAAAGAAAGCCGCACAGCGCACTGCTGTAGCCACCAAAGCCACATGCACTGCACAGATCCACTGTTCCACCCATATCTGAAGACCAGCTTCTCCACAGTTCTGGTGGGCCTCTCCTAGGGAAAACCTGGAAGAAAAACAGCAGGGCAGACTCCATCCCCATTGCTGCAACTGTTCTCAGGGATGCAAGTCGTCATCTCCATCCTCTGGCATCTATCTAAATCCCCTCACCATCAGCTATGGCCTTGGCAGGTCTTGCTAGCTAATCTAATTAAGTCATAACCCAAACTCTCACTCCTAAGGGAACCAAGCACCTAGGTATTCTATCATTCTCCCTCTAGGGTAGCTGTGACATATCCATTCACAGTTACAACTAGGTAAGGGAGTAGTACAAGAGGGAAAGATGCAGATGGCCTGAGCTCTGCTGCCACTGTGTAAGAGCAGCCCTCCCTCCGTGGGCTCATGTGCACCAATCGCTTGTGTCAAGGTCCTCCTTCCCACTTGCTGGCCCTATACACCGGAGTTTAAAGCACCCTACTGGCAACCACAGACTGCACTTACTCTGTGCCCTTGCTATGTCCCCTGCAACTGCTATGGGTCCCAGGACTTCTGAGGCTCCCAGACCAAAGATACAGGGACTCAAAGCACAAAGCCGCTGGTGACACACTTCTGTTCCTACCTCCTGAGTCTCTCTCCTGGGGATGCAGACTCATGCTGAAGTTTCTAATTCAGTGTGTATGCCACACCCTGAACAGTGGATGCCTGTCCATGCAGAGATCTCTGTGTTAAGCTTCATCTGCACCTTTTGGAGGCCACTGCAGACACCCTCGGGCCAGCTGCCAATAGATGGTCAGGCTGTGGTTCAGAAAATGCCACAGCCCAGGCCACACCCACACAGCTCTCCAGGTGAAGTGAGGCCCCAGTCTGACACTCAGTGGAGGAAATCACACCTGTGGATCAAGGAGCCAACTAGTGGCATTAGACACACACTCAGCTACCAAGCAAAAGTGATGAATTATACTAGATGTTGCCAATAAATAAATAAGATGCGGCTGGCTTAAAGCAGCTTACCGTCTAAGGAGAATGAAATAGCCACAGCAATATCTTCCTTTTTCATTAAATACCTTATGCACAATAAAAGTATACAAATGGTTTTTAAAGAAACACAAGTGGGCCGAGGATTTAGCTCAGAGGCACCATGCCTACTTTGCAAGTACAAGGTCCCAGTTTGATCCCAGGTAGAAAAGAAAGGGAAAGGAGGAAAGAGGGGGGAGGGGCAGGGAAGAGGGAGAGGGAAGGGAAGGGGGAAGAAAAGAAATTGCTAAGTTATTTTCATAAACCCTTGACCATATCAAAAACAGCCCAAATATATCAAAAAGGGTTTTTAATATACCAAATATTCACTAGTTGGCAATATTTAATCCTATTTGTAGTGCATATTAGTTGACTTACTAAATATAACTGTAGTTACAGCTTTTAAGAAACCTAAAGTTTTATTCTATATACTTTCAATTAACATTTCAAACAAGCTGAGCATGGTGGTGCATGCTTATAATCCCAGCACTGGCGGGAGGCTGAGGCAGGAGGATTGTGGCGAGCTCAAGGCCAGCCTGAACTACATAGTGAGATCCTATCTCAAAAGAAAGCAAACAAATAAGTAAATTTCAAGAAAAACAATACTTTCCATATTGCTTTACTTATAGCCTGTTTCAAATCATAGGCCTACATCAAGTTCACATGATAAATCACCAAGTAAAATATAGCTAGGTGATGTGCAAAGATTACTAAGTAATCATTTATATTTTTTAGATTAAACCTAAGTAAAAAATTTCTAAATTTATACCAGGTTCATGTGTATTATTTGAATAATCAATGAACTTAGAAAATAAATTTCAAAACAGTGCAAAATTTCCAAAGCAAGGAACAACAACAACAAAAAAAACATAGTAACTTTCAGGATAATTTTCTTCCTCACCATTCAAAGTAATTCTTGTATATAAATATGCCTCGTATTTTAACAAGGTCTCATGTAGAAGTATGAAGAAACTGGCAACTCACCTTTGTACACCATAGGGCCTTTCCAAGATAGGCTCTTTGAATGGAGGCTGAATGTGACCAAAATAATCAGGATAGGCCACCTCCGAATATTCCGGGACAGACTTGGTGTTCTTCACAAGTTCAATGTAGAGGTCTGGGTCATGAAGCGTTGGTGCATCAGGTACTTCAACTGATGCTTGCTCAACTGATGAATTAGACTCAGTGTCTTCATCGTCTTCTATTTCAACTCCAGTACAGCAGAGATTCCCCAGCTGAACTGTCCGGCCCTCAAAGAGAGCATTCCCACAAGCTGCCATGTGAGGACATGCTTTGGTGCACGTAAGCACAGTGAGCGGGAGACCACAGTCCTTCTTCATCTCCACAGTCAAGCCTGGGGCTGTCTGTGTGGGAATACTCTGCAGCGTGATTCTGTCCAAGGCCTTCACGATATCACTGTGGAAAGCAGAGGCAGAGGGAACGGCTCTGCTCCGGTCGTCGGACTGTTGTGGTGACGCTCTGTCAGCTTTAACATCTCCTCTGGCTACACCCACAGCAGCAGTCTTCCTCTGGCCTTCCTCGGTCTTCGGGGACACTTTCTCCTTCAGAACAGCTCCTTTTCTTACACTGCCCACGTTCCCAGCTGCTTCCTCTCCAGCTGTGGGAACAACAATAGGGCCACGTACTTTCCCGTCAAATGCAAAAGGCTTCGGTTCTTTGGAGATTAAATCGTAGTCCTTTAAAAGTAAAAAGTATGTTTAATTTGTCATCTATCAATATTAAACATGTTAATAGAAGATCAGATTTCTCATACCCTAGAAATCTCTGACATCTGACAATCTGAAAGACAAATAAAAGGTAATGTTTCAATTTCACAAATAAAAAATAAAACTCAAAATATTTTATTTTCTATTATAAAAATAATGTCTATATATCACAGAAGTATGGGAAACTTTAGAAGAGTATAAAGACATTAAAGTTATCCGAAGTCCTATTTAAGAAGAAATGCAACAACTACATTTTTATCCTTAATGAAACAATTATTACCAAGTATCTATCAGTAACATTATTTACGGAATGTCTGCATTGCTTTAAGTATTTGAGACACAGCAGTTTCAAAAAAACAAGGCTCTTCCCTTTCCTAGCTTATATTCTCGCAGTGATGGGAGAGGGACTGTCAATGCGACACCACAGACATGACATAAACATGTATTACACATGATATAAATACATTTTATATTTTAGAAGAGTAAAATACTACAGCCAAAGGGGAAGAGGAAAACACAATGTGGACCGGACATTCCGGGGGAGGTGAGGGACAGTCCACTGCTTAGGGAATCCCACTGAGTACAGAGAATAATCAGAGGCTTTGGAGAGGCAGAGCCCATGAGTGGGAGCATTCCAGGCATAGAGGACGGCCAGCGCATGGGCCCCAGAGCAGGAGAACGTCCGGCGATCAAAGCGGGAAGGTCAGGACGGCTCTGACAAAAACAAGTGCAGCTCTCAGAAGCCAGAGGGCTGGGTGCTGCATGGCCTCACCAGCCATAACTTTTGGTTTTCACTCAAAATGAGCAACAGACAAGTAACATGACATGACTTGTTTTAAAAACAATAAGCAAATATAGCATTTCACATTCAAGTCAGTAGAAAGTTGGGGACAGATTATTCTTGTTTGTTGTTGGCTTTATTTTTGCATTTTGGGTGCCAAGTGGTGGGAGTGGTGCTGTCTTATTCACTACAGGATGTTTAGCAGCATTCTTTTTTTTTTTGGTTTTTTTGAGATAGGGTCTCACTATGTAGTTGAGACTGACCTGGAACTCACTATGTAGCCCAGGCTGGTCTCAAACTCATAGCGATCCTCCTGCCTCAGCCTCCCGAGTGCCGGGATTACAGGCATGTGCCACCACGCCCGGCTTTTAGCAGCATTCTTGGCCTCTACACACTAGACGCCAATAATGTGCACAAGCACAAGCACACACCCACCCACACCCACACTTTGTGAAAACCAAGAACATTTCCACCATTTTTTAATGTTTCCTAGAAAGCCAATTGGAGCCAGTAGAGAAACTGCTCTGGTGCTTCTTCAAAAACAGACAGAAATGGACAATCTAAATCTGTTAAACAATAAACTAAAGAACCTAGTTAAGAATTGTTCAGTTGTGAACATACTACAGAACCAACTTTATATTCTCATAGACCTGGAATAGGGCAGAAATATAAAGAGAAATCACAGATGATCCCAAAGTACAGTATAATGTTGCATGAAAATCCACTTATGAAACTTTGGGAGGAGGCTGAAGGTGAGTCATCAGGTGACTCGGCTAACGATGGCTTGGATCATGTGAGCCAAAGAAGTTAGCAAGATACGATGGAGAAGTACAGAATGAAGACCTTGATTCAGATGAGGAAGAAAACAGTAATGGAAAGAAATATCTGACTAGTCAAAATGCTACAAAATGGTCACACACACCTGAATGATCCAATGTTAGAACTAGGTCAGAAAATATTAGGTTCTTTCCAACAGTGAAACCTATTAGATGGAACACCAACAATGCGATTCATTGTTGGAAACATACAAGATGTTTCCAAACACACTAATAATGAAATAGAAGAAAACATTCTTCATGCATCAATAGTAATACTCAAAAAATATATTTCTCATGACACCTCACTATCTGAACTAAAAGCCTTCATACTAACACTTTTATTCTAAGTGTCCGAATCTAAAGGATTTATGGAGAAGTGACAGATGTAGCACTGAGATTTTTAGAACAGTAATGACAATCAAGAGATTTAGTTTCCTTCAAAATTCCCCACGTTTTGACAACACAAGGGAAAAAAACAAACAAACCAACAATTTGGCTGCTATTTGCTATTTGTTGAAAGCTTTGTTTCAGACTTATGTGCCATCCAAATACAGCACCACTGACAAACAACTTGCACAGCTGCATGGTTGTTGAAGCTTTCGGCAATATTCAAGTAAACTTTCCAAATATGGTATAAAAATATATACCCTGGTAGATGTGAAGATATTTTACACCTTGAATTGAGTTTTATTCATTTATCCTACAACTCACCCACTAGGTCATTATTAGTATGGTAATAAACCTTATCATATTGTGAAAGAACTGTGATACCTATTTCAAAACGTAATCCAAATATCACATTCAACAATGGGTTCACTAGTTACCCACTATGTTGCATTTGCTAGAAGAACACCAGGTGACCAGCTCAGGAACTATTCCCAAGAACAAAGCAGAGATTCCTGAAAAAATGTTGCAAGTTCACAACAGAGAAATGTATAGTACAATCTCTGGATTTCAGAAAGATTAACAACAGCCTCCTATATGGCAAAGAAAAACAAAGTAGTACTGATACTGTCGACATTACACCATGATGATAAAATTGATAGTGAAGCCAAATATGGTGATGCATTCCTATAATCCCAGCACTGAGGAAGCCAAGACAGGAGGATACTGTGAGATCAAGGTCATCTTGTGCTACACAGTGAGGTCCAGGCTAGCCTGGACTACATAGGGAGGCCTTGTCTCAAAACAAACAAGCAAAGACTGATAGTGAAATCTCAACACAAATGAAGCCAACAAAACAAAGACAGAGTAGACATTTTTGATGAGTTATGCAGCAACTATGATGTCACTCAAAACACGAATCATTGACCAATATTTGTTTTTACACAATCCTAAATATGTGAGGCACAGTTTATAATTTCCAAAGAAAATAACAAGCACAAACTATCATGGAGATATTCTCTTAGAGGACCAGGACTGGAATTGATAAATGATCAATTACAACACTGGAAGAACAGTATGTATCTACTCAAAGAACTCCTCAAAAGAATTCTGGAGCAGACCCATGAACAAATAGGTAAAACATCACAACCACCAGGTATCCTAAGAAAACAGGAAGAGCAGCAAGATGTCAAGTATGTCCTACCAAAGAAGACAGGAAAACAAAACACATGTGCTATTAGGGTGATATCTGTGTACAGAACATGCTGTTCTTATGTATAAAAACTGCCTTAGTTTGATAACTGAAGTAAAGATTTTTTTTGTGTGGTAGAGTTGTATTTCCACTGCAGTTCACAAAAATTTATTTCTGCTGTTATTTTTTAGATTTCATAAGCTAACCGTTGACTAAGAAAATGCTGATGTTTATTCTAAACACTGAGTATATATTTGGTATTTTACTTTATTGATACTTTGTTTTCCTAAGCTGACACTGTATGATATATTAGCAAACCACTGACCAAAAGAACAGACAATATCATAAAAACCTTAATTTTAATCTAAACAATATGTGGCAGAGATGAATTAATTTAACATGACTGTTACTTTTTTTATTATTGAGTTTATTGGTACAATCTAGGTATATAATACAGTTACATTCATTATTGGGATCCTGTACCTTTACATAATAGGTCTTGGTTCTCATTTTTTCCCTTTGTCCCTGCCCTCCCTTCACCCCCCCTCCCCTCCCCATTTACAAACATTTTATTTCCATTTTTTTCATTTTCTCCTACTTTTTCTTTTCCCTTATTACCTTTCCCCTACCCTTCCCACTTTCCCTACACCTTTAGCTCTTTTCTTCCTGTTTTACATTGTCAATTATCTCATTAGGCCAAGTATACAGTTTTAAAATCTGGACACTTTCAGAGATTTATGCAAGTACCCACTACAAGTCAGCTACAAAGTGAGAATAACAAAGTACATCTACTAATTGCAAACAATTCAACTTCATTTGCTGTGAAATCTAACCTAAGTAATTATATTTTGGCAAAAAATGAGGATAAGAAATATTAATAACATTTCACTTTTTTACTGGATCAAGTTAAGGATATCCTCTTTTCCCCTCTGCCTTCACTACTGTTACAGAGTGAACTTTTTTTTTTTTTTTTGGTACCAGGGATCAAAGTCAGGACCTTGCTCTTGCCAGGCAGGTGTGGTGCCACTGAGCTACATCCCCATCAAGGAGAAAAATTAACACACAGACTATTTTTAACTTAGCACTTGCTTAGTGCTCCTCTTAAATGAGCAAAACTGAAAGAAGCAGCAAAGTATGAGATTTTATAGTGTAATTTTAAAGAATATGAGACAAAGAATACAAAACTACCAATTAAAAATTATAGATCAAAGTGATAAAAAATTAAAAACTACTCTACCTCCCCACATTTTATAGATAAGCAATTTGTAGTTCAGAATGTCAATATAATTATTCTTAAATACCCAGAAAAGCAAGTCTAGGTTCAGTCTAGTCTAAGGGCGGGGGAGAAATTTTTATTAGTATTTACCTGAAAATCATCAACAAGCTCAGGGAAGAGGTGTTCATACATTTTTAGTTCATCTATTGTTCGTCCTGGTACTTGCTGTGGTTTTAATTTGTTAATATCTGTTTCAATATCATCATTCTGAAATAATAAAAATTGCATGTCAACAGTTTTTTAAAGGTACAACTAGAGAAAATAATCATTAAGTAAAGTTGTATCAACTTTATATAAATTCAGATTTATGTATTTTTCTTAGATTGTTGTTATTGTCAGGTTTTTCTTTTTTCATGGTTATTCTTTTTGTTTTTTTGGTACTGTGGATCGAATTCAGGACCTTGAGCTTGTGAGACAGGCGGTGGCACCACTGAGCTAAATCCTCGGCCCTATTTATGGTTATTCTAATGCAACAGGGTATTTGGTTCTTCATGACAAAAAAAAAAAAATCTGTGTCAAAATCAAGATTAAAGTATGTATTTCTCAATCTTCCCAAATTGCCATCATATCACATATTTTATTTTATTTTATTGGTTTTTGAGACTGGGAATTGCTAAGTAGTTCAGATTAGCTGTGAACTCACTATGTATCCCACGCTGGCCATGAGCTCACAGTAATCCTCCTGCCTCAGCCTCCTCCTGAGTGCTGGGATTAGAGGCATGCACTAACATATCTGGCATGTTGCACATTTTAAAAGGCAATAAAACTTAAGAAAGCTGAATCGAAAAACATATCTATATCTATCTAGATCTATGTTTGTAGTGGTAATAACCAAAACAGCTAACAGTGAACACTAAAAATATACGAAGCTAATTTAATTTTCATAAGCCTAAAGTAGATAATATTATTACCTTAGTTTAACTGAAAATAATTCATAGGTTAAGGAGCTTGCTATTAGTTTACACCTTGCAAAGGTAAGAGTCAGGACACAAAAGCTGATCACTGCCAGGGCACACAGTGTTGGCCAGTAGAAGGCACTGCCTCACACAGACAGAGGGCTGTCACACACTTACACACCGTGATAAACAAAGGGTCCTCACAGAAGCTCAGTGGTACCACTGACTTTGTTTGTCAGAAGAAAAAAAAGTAAGGAGTGGTGAGGGAAACTTCCAGACCTAATCCTCATGCACCTTTAGGAAAGAAGAGGGTAAATTTAAAAGTGTCTTTGGAGAGAGCAGATGTGCAATCCAAGATGAATCTCATCTGTGTGTGCCTAAGAGAAGAGCCACTGCACCTGGGAGAGGGCAGGCTCAGTGCAAACAGCTTCCAAGCTAATCTCTAGGGTACCCAACTGCTCGCCTCACACAAACACAAACTCAACGTGATCTTCATAGATGACTAAAGAGAAGTAATAAGACCACTATTCATTTTTAATTGGTACTCATTTTAATGTTCTATTTATCTTACTATACATGAACTAATTTTCATCCTTAAACCAAATTTATTTTACTATGCGTCAATCCTTATATATATGTAGCTAATGCCAATCGCTATATCATTATTTAATTATGTAAGTTGTAATTTTAGCTACATTTAAGTTACAGATTATGAACCAGTAATATAATTTTCTTGATTAGCATCTAATAAATAGGCGATATTTCCAAAAACAGTCTTATGAAGTTATAGCAGTATGATGCTATATTGGTGCATTTATGGGTAAAGGACCATGACACATGATATATATAACTTACCTACAAACGGTTAGAATGGTTTTAAAGTGTGTGTGCATGCATACATGCTCACAATTTTCTAGGAGCAGACTCAGCCACTGTTATAATTTCTACAGTTTTATTTATCCACTCTGTCTTCACATTTTCAAAGCAACCCAACAGATATTTTTAATGAAAATTGAGCGTGACAAACAAATTATACTGAACATACATTGTTTTTAATAGACACTGAATAAGAAAGGCATATCAAAATACAGTATTTTAAAGAGATTAATCTAGAAAATTTAGTATAATCTGGGAAATTTTACTACACCTCAACATTCACTTTCTTTTCTTCTTTTTTTGTTTGTTTGTTTGGTACTGGGGATTGAACTCAGGACGTAGCACTTGCAAGGCAGGTGGCAGAACCACTGAGCTAAATCTCCAGCCCTACATTCACTTTTCCAAACACTTTTTAATATTCTTCCTGATAGACAAGAAAAACTTTTGGGAATTTAAATTCTATCTTGGAACTTACTATCCTCCCCACTGTATCAGGTTCAGAATCAAAAGTGCAGTTATCCATCAGAGCTATGATATTTATTTGCCTTAATGCCAGAAGACAGACTATTTGACAATTTTGCCAAAGCATGTCTCAGTAATCATGTTTAGTAGTAGCAAAACTGGTTCTATACTTGCTATTAGGATAGAAATATTACAATATCTTAAGATTCAGAAGCCTGAGTATACTCCAACTGTAATGTAGTAATCTAAAATTTTTAAAAATTAAAACAGCCAAGCAGCAAGTCAAATACCCTCTCCCAAAAAAACCAAGCAATAAGCAAAACGGTTAAGCAATCACAAACCATTTTTCTACAGATAGTGTAGTGGTCCCCTCTAATACTAAATAAAACAAAACCAAGTACCAGAAGTACCATAAAATCTGAAAAGTCACCTGCTTCTTTTACCTACATCTTATGACACAATAACTTAATTTTCTCAATTATACACTACTTTTTCCTTTTCTAATTAACAAATGAATCATTATGTAAATGGCCCAGTGTGAAGACTCATTATAAACACTAATTCTTATAAAAATGCTTTAGTTATAAACTATTTTCCTCCTATTTTTATACCCCCAAAGAATGGCGGACATAGGATATTGGGTTTGGAATAAGCTGTCACAATGGAGCCTCAAACCATTATCTGCAGGCTCCTTAGATTCTCTGTGATTTCAAAATCTAAGGGAGAAGGTTAAAAAAAATTTTCTCCTTCAAAGGAATGAAACAAGTTACTTTAGGGCCTTTTTCAGCCCATCAAATTTTAGACATTTGCTCTTCAAGCAATTAAGTATCCATAATTATCATACTGCAACAAGTTAAATACATTACACAGATTTACCAGACCTCTTTTTTATAAATGAAGTACACAGCCTGTAAAGCTGACTAATGATAAAAATTTACTAACCTTGAAACTCTGATCTAGGTCGTCTTCATTTTCAATTTCATTTTCAGGTTCTAAATCAATATCATCGTTGTCATCACTTTCATCTACTACGTCATCCACTGTGATACAAAACGTGCTATAAGTAGGTCAGAGGTAGGAATTCTAAAACATGCACATCCAAAAATAAATATATAAACTGTATAATATGTATTATAAGTACATAATCACCAAAAAAAGCAAATGAGATTTCTTATTAAAAATGTCTAAGATTGCACCAGCTACTGAAAAAACTATGAAATACATGAAAGTGCTTTATAATTTGAAAAGTACTGCAAAAATAAGTGAGTTTTTTGCTAACATCCTCAGATTTTAAAAAATTTTTATGTTCTAAGAACCAGAATAAAACATCCTGTTTCCTGTTCATGATAAATGTCAATGTCACATTTGACCCCTTATAATTCCCCTCCCATTTGTGCCAATGACTGTGTGCCATGTACTGTGTTGTGTGCTGGGATGTTTTAAAGATATATAATCCCTGCCCTCCAGGAGTAAACAAGTAAGTATACTACAGAAGATAAATGCTAATAGGCATAATCTTCAAAGTGCCATGGGAAAAACAGAGAGCAGTACCAAGTTGCAAATTGTTTAAGAACAAGGTGTTGATCTCTTTGCATAACGGATTATATTTAAGCAGTTTCTTAAAGAAATTATGACACATTTCTATATAAACAGGGAGGGGTGAGTATGCCTTTTAAAACAAATAACACTAAGATAAGTAAGTACAAAGATGTCTTTGAAAAATAAAAACTAGCATGTATAATATGCTTGAGAAAGTACTAACAGGCAAGTAAGAATGAGAACAAATGGAGGATTTATATAGTTTAGACTACTATAGATTAGACTTCTAACCTACAGAAGGAAAGCACTGAGAATTCAAGAGGAAAATAACTGAGAGAGAACAAGTGATAGAGTGAGAAGGACTTGTGTTTTCAAAGAGCACTCTGAAAGATGCGATCAAGGGGAGTATATGGATAGAGCAAAGGCCAATGAAGAGGAAGGAAAATCCAGCAGTAAAGGGAAAGGATACACATTTTTAAAAAATCAGGGACTGAATAAAAAAGGACATGGGCCACGGATGTAGGGGAGAAAAGGAACAAGAGCACAAGAGTCTTATGGGATTATACAGTAAGGCACAGTGCTTTTAAACAAGGTAGAAAATGCTTCTTTAAAGACAGTTTACCAAATTCCTTTGGACTTCCTTTCCAGCGTGATGCAGAGCAGGGATTACTGACTGTCGTACTACTGTATGTTCTTCTTTCCTTGCCCTGTGTGTTAGTTACTGGGCTTTCAGCCTCCCTTGAAGTAGTTACAGACATACAAACCAGTGACGACTGGTTAATGGTACATAATGCAAAGTGATAAATACAAATTCCAGGTCACATTCTTTAAAAAGAAAATCGCCTTCTCCATTTTTTTCACTGCCATTTCAGGGTGCATGTAATTTTATCATGAGAGACAATGAAAACATTCTTTGATGACCTAGAATAGCAACCTACTACCCAGGGATTATCTGCTTATATTCTGGCTAGATATGGGGTTATATGGGTCAGAGCAGAGGTAAAGGGATAACTTCTCTTTTAACGGCAGGGCAAAAGAACTCTGGAGACAGAATTCGTGAATTTCTAAATTCAAAGTCCAATTCTCCATCTTGCTAAATAGTTCATGCTAAGCAAGTCACACAGATTTGTGCCAGAGATTTAGATGTGTGGTGCCGCTGCCTGCCTCACAAGTGCAAGGTCTTGAGTTTGATCCCAGTTACCCCCGACCAAAAAAAAAAAAAAAAGTTTATGACTACTCTGAGTATAATACAGTTCTCTGTAACTAATACAATACCAAAACGCTTCAAATTCTTCTGAAAAGAGCACAAAAAAAGTGTAAGTATTCATATGGTAGCCAAGATCTATTTATGCCTATAATCTATTTATGCCTAACAGCAGAAAGTCATGGATAAATGGAGAAAACTGACACTTGGAGAAAGAGAGGGGAGACAAAAGAATTCATGGGGAAAAAAATTAAAGGACTGCAGAAAAGCCTATTACAAACAGGAAAAATGACTGCACAGATAGGGATAGGGAAAACATACTTCATCCTCAGAGACCAAACATGCTTTTAATTTCAGGCCAAATTTGTCAAATATTTTCCTTTATATGCTATTTTCCTTTGGATTTCTAATCTAGATGTAAAATGCTTATCTTAAAGGGTCAAAACTTTCTTATCTAACCTAAAAATTCAACAATATTCTTACACCATTACCAATAATATTAATTACTACAGCTTAATCATACAGTTAAAACCAGAGAGTATAAATCAAAATTCTTATTTTTTATTTTCAAAATGCCTTTGACTCATTTATAATAAAAAACAGAATACAGCCAGGCAAGGTAGTGTGTATCTATAATTCCAGCACCTGGGGAGAAGATGGCAAGAAGATTTTGAATTTAAAGTCAGGCTAACTTTGAGGCCAGTCTGGGATATATAGTGAGACTGCCTCAAAAAACAGAAAGAAACAAAACAAGAAATACAGCAAACAACCTAAATATCTATCAGTAGGACACTAATTAAACAAATGATACTAAATCCACAAGATGTAATTATCAGAGGGAAGGAGTGTTTTCTACAAGGGTTTGTAAAGTATATCCAAAGAGTTTATTTTTGTGGTTGCTTTCCTCCTGTAAATGTGATCTACTTTCCCTTTATGTCTTTTAATGTGAAATAGGAGGAACAGGGCTAAAGGTGTAGGGAAGTGGGAAGGGTAGGGGAAAGGAAAGGAGGGAAAGAAAAAAATAGGAGAAAATGAAAAAATGGAAATAAAATGTTTGTAAATGGGGAGGGGAGGAGGGGGTAAAGGGAGGGCAGGGACAAGGGGAAAAAATGAGAACCAAGATCTATCATGTAAAGGTACAAGATCCCAATGAGGAATGTAACTGTACTGTATACCTAAAACGTACCAATAACATAAAAAAAATTAATTGGTGTTTGTTAAACACACACAGCTATATATATTTATATTTCTTTTTTCCTGTTTGCAATAGGCTGCGCACATATAAATGTGTAGGTATATACACATACATACAAAATAACCACTTAATTTCATTCATTTTTCTTGTAACTAGTGTTTTGTCTGTCAATTCATTATTTTGCTTTACAATTCATATGTAATAGTATATTATTCTCCATAGCTATTGATATATCAATCTCACTCTCTTAATAGCTAAAATCTTTCTTTTCCTCATCTAACAGATTTAGCTAGAGCTTTCAAAATGATACTAAATTAAAATGGTTGAGAGAGACAACCTCTTAACATTTTATTACTATTTGTGATATTAAGAGTACTCAGATTGTTCAAAATACATTTCTGGTTTCCTTAATAAACTGTATCTGGAACTGACACATGCATTTTTATGAAATCTCTTGATGCCAATAATCTTTTCCTTCCTTTGATCTATTGATAATAAATTTTATTATATGTCAAATAATATGGTGAAGTTACTTTCCTAAAAATAATCCTTACTTGGCCCAAGTGTCCTAGACATGAACAACACTGCTCAATTAAGTTGCTAATTCTTAAGTTTGCTAGTATTTTGATATTTATTTTGAGGAGTGATTTTGATCTATAGGTTTTTTTCAGGTTATTCTTACCAAATTTTGCAGCATCATGCTAGCTTCTAAACTTTCCTTTTTTTTTTTTTTTTTTTTTTTTTTTTTCCTATGCTCTGGAAAATAAAGAATAGGGAAATTTCTTGGAAGTTAGAGAACTAATCTATGAAATCATTAGCACTGAGTGTCTTCAATGAAGAAGCCTGATTTCATATTCAACTTATTATTTAAATCAGTTTGATTATCTGTATTTCCCTATTGCATTGTCCATTTCAATGATATATTCTAATTTACTAGGGCTTTTAGCATCTACTTAGAATGATTTAATCCCGTCTATAATTTGCCAAGGATTTAGAGGTATATTAACACTATGTTTCCATCACAATTTATCCTTGTCATTTCAAAGACTCTAACTTTATCTATTTTTGTTATATTATTTGGAGCACGTATTATCATAGACTATATAAAATAAACTTTCCTGTCTTGTTTTATACATTTTTTTCTTGGGTATTTCTATTTTGTATTAGAAGATGTCTTCCTCCCTTCTCTTGGGCTAGGGGTAACATACACATTTGCCACTCTACTTTCAAATTTTCCACTCTGTTGTTTTAAGAAGTTTCCAGCAAGTATTGGCTGGATGAAGTTCATTTATTAACCCAATTTTAAGTCCCTTTTCTTTTCAATGGAGTGTTTTATTCATTTAGATTGCTAATTAATGGAACTGATTTACTTCTACTTGCTTTGTACTTAGCTTGATCAGGGGTCTTGTATATCTGAAATTCCTTGCTTTTATGTTTCAGAGAGCGATCCCTTCAAGAATTTTTCCCAAGGGAAAAAAATACATAATTTTACACAGTATTTCAAAGTGTTCATAGTCTCTAAGTGAAACCCAGTTTAAGGATCTCTGTTCTTTTTTATTTTTATTACTACATCTGCAGTAAATAATGTTTACATTCCTTTACAGTTGAGAATACATATTTCTATATCATTTTAGAAATGCAAGAATAGTATATTAGGAAATCTATCAATATAATTTAACAGACTCAGTTTACAATAACTGTGTATTTAGGACTTTTAACCAAGGATTAGCTGATACATTTTATAACAATAGCATACAAGCTATTTACTATTACATAGTTAAACAGGTCATAATGGTTAATACAATTAGTCTTCTACTGTGTCTTCCGTATTCTTACATTTTTAATCCAGCACTTGACTGGCTGAAATAGTATTTCACATAATCGCTTTGGTAAGGGTACCCATATAATATATTCTGTCCCCTTACATTTCTAAGAATGTAGCACCTTCACAGATGATGGAAACTAATAAAGATTCAGAAATCTTGAGTTAGAACCTTTTTTCTTTAAATCTCCATTGATACTACTTTACTATCTTCTGGCATTTAACATTTGAGAGAGTAAGTGTTGAGGGCAACTGCATTCATTAAACAAATACTAAATGCACCTTTATTATGGCCCATGTAATCTAACGGATGTTAAAGATACAATGAAGAAAAAAACAACAGTCCTACTGTGATAAATACATATTCCATCATTGTCCCTGTTCGTGGCACACAGCTCCTAAATCCCTTGGTATTTCTCAGGTGATAGGAGCATTTTTCTTCTAAAGAGCACAAAAGTCTTGGTGGAATCCAAGAGAGATTCAGGGTGGAAGCTGGTGGCTATAAAAATGAACACATATTTATAGAGAGGTTGGAGTTCAGCACTACTAAACCTCTAATTAGAAAAGATAAGCTGAGATTGAGTTGCTCACCAATAGTCAATGATCTGATCAATCATGACTGATCAAATCACAAAAACCCTAAATGACAGTGCACAGAGAGTTATAGGGTTAGTGAACACACCAAGGTGGTAGGAAGGCAGTGTGCCTAGAAAAAGCATGGGTCCACATCTTTTCCCACACCTGCTCTTATGCATCTCTTCACATGACTATCAGTGTAACTTTGAAAAAACAGTAAACAAAGAGTGTGTCTGAATTGTGTCAGCCATTAAAGGAGATCATAACGCTGACAAGTGGGTTCTAAGAACTCCCCCACCAATCTTGCTACTGGCATGAACAGTAGGAGCATTCTTATGGGATGGCACATTAAACCTATGGGGTCTATGCTAACTCCAGGTAGTGCTAGGATTGAACTGAATTGTATGATACCCACCTGGTGAACAGAGAAGTAGAGAATACACTGGCATGAGAGAAAACCAATCTACATATTTGGTGTTAAAACTATAAGTAAAACAACTCAGGCCTATTTTAGAAGAACATACAAAAAATAATAAAGACTTTGATACATATAATGCAATCTGATATGTGCAAAAACAACTGAAAATAGAATGAGAATATTTTCTTTGTGCCTAGACAGTTATTAGAATCTTCCTCTCACATCCAATTACGAAGGCTTGTTAGAAAATGTAAATCTACATTTCCACTTTATGGATTCATCAAGTCTAAGAATCACACATAAAAGGACCTAATGGAAAAATAGTGCCTCTCTTGTTTTTTACCACATTTGGTGAATTCACCGCATTACTGGTCTATCCATTAATCTGGACACTAAATAAAGAACACTATGGGCTATATCTTGCTTCCTTTCTGGTATAACTACCTGCGCTGCATCATAGGAAGGCCCACCAGCTTTCTACCAGTTAGGATTACCATTTAAACATCCAAAAGTTACACTCCCTATGTGGAGACATGGAAGAAAAATAAATTTCAACCACCCTCGGACTGTCCCTCCAAATGAGTTGCTGCTCACCTTGGAGACCCAAATTACACTGTGGGAGGGGTTATGGACTTGACACTTTCCTCAATGTACTCATATCTCCACCATACTTGTTCTATATTCTATGTTCATCTCATGAAGATACCCTCTAACCTACTTTTCAGATTTGGGACAGATTTTATATTTTCAAAATCTGTTGGTAATTTCAAATGGAATGGGAAGATGGAATTAATTCCTTTCATTTATCCACCTACTTTGCATCCACTAAACTTGTGCTTTCATAACTAAATATTTTTAAATATAATAACACCATTCCCTATTGACATATTCCATTAATAATTCTACATTAATAGTAAAATGAATCACAGATACTTCTTTTAAAGCATCTACTTCATGTATTTTATATAAAGACATTTCTTTATAAAAAAGTCATAAACTTAAGTCAATACAACGTACCCTTTTTCATTTTGCCATATATTTATCAAAAATTATTTTCTCACATTAAGATTTTAAAATTATTTCTTTTCTACATACCTACAGTATTATACAGAAAATGACAGCCTGTCTCTGATAATTTCACGTATTTCTCCAAGTAAGCTATTTCTAACTTTTTAAGTATAAACCATAACAATTTTGGTGACTGGATATTTTTTGACTTGAGAAATTAACTTGAGTAAAAAGATACAAATGTAAAACCAAACATAATGACCTAAACATTTAATGGCCTATCTTATTTGAAAATTTATATAATTTACCAACTTATATTCTTATGCAATAGTTTTTCACAATTCACATTTCTGTACACACAACATACCCTATGTTATTTCCCCTTAATTACTAGATTTTCTTCCTTATAGTTAAAGAAATAATTATTAACTAAAATAAAATATAAAAGTTTACATTGTTCATTAAGAACTTTTTGTGCTGAGGAGTTGTGGACACATGTTTAAAAGAGAAAGAAAAAATAATGAAAAGTCCACAACCACAAAATTCTAAGAACCAAGGAAAGCCAGCAAGAATTTGGAGTCCAACCTTCAGGGGGTAAACTGTAAAGCTGGGCCACAGGTCCACTCACAGGCATAACTGGTAACTGGAAATGGAAAGAACTTTTAATTGTTGGAAGTGGCAGGCGATTCTTGGGGAAACACTTCCTCATTATCAGACTGGAGGTATTCACAAGAGGATCAAGAGTCCGGACTGCCAAACACTCCTGTTTTTAAAAAGAATAAAAAAGAAAGAATGTGCCTTTAGTAAATTAAATCAATGTTATACTACCTCAGAAATTAATACATTAATTTTCTACAGACAAACATTACAAAAACCAGTATTTTAATAGAGGAGAATTATAAAGTAACTTTACTGTTCAGAAGTACACAATGTAAATAATAATTTCATGTGGCAAAATTTCCCTAAATATTTTAACTATACAGAAATCAGTATAATTTTTATCACCAAAACCACTGGAATCCTAAATATCGGTGACAAAGAGCCTCTTAGATCCTTCAATGATAACAAACAGCCCACAGCAGCATGCATGCCACAGGTTTGCCACAACTGCGGTAGGCAAACACCCTAGGGCATATTTAGCAAGTCTAGGACACAAAAATTTTTTAAAGTTTATGGGGAATAAGGGTGGAAAAGTATCAAGAAAGCAAGAAAGATACAAGAAATACAAAGGAACATGCATTTTATTAAGCCTTTCTCAGAACTCTATCAGTATCCTACTTAAGGTCCAAACAATTTGATTTGTTGCAGTATCTAATTTTCAGGAGGGTTAGGGCATAGAGGAATTTGAAACTATGCCACATTATTATCAGTGACTGACATTTACGCAGAACTTTGATACACTATAAAATTTTTATATCCATTTCATATCTGGCAAGTCAATACAGATGAAAAATTAAGGCTCAAAGCTCTTACATCAAATATTCATCACTGACTATGCTAGGGATAGTAAAAACAAGTACACACCACTGCTCTAGAAGACAATCCTAAAGGTTAAAAAAAAGTTTCCTAATATCTTAACTGTTGTTCTGTAAACAGACACTGTTTACGTGTAAAACCAAAAAGGCACAACTAGGATTCCTGGCTGGTATTTTTAAAAAGTCAGATGTCTTTTCTATAATTACAGGCTTCTAAAAACAAGAGGGTTGCACTGCAACATCCCCACCTCCCATACCTGACTGTCTTCTACAGATGCTCAAAAAGGTCTCACTGAATGTACTCTCAAGGATACCTATGTCTAAAATGGCTGGCAGAACTAGCATTCTCCTTACAGGTTCCTCCTCTACACCTTCCCAATGAATAAAAGGCTCAGCCAGAAGGAAGACATGCAGAGCACACACAGACAATAGAAATACCCTACCAGCTGCAAAGGATACGCTTGGAGGGGAGAATGAAAAGTAAGCGCAGCCAGCTGCACACCCTAGAAATCACAGCTACATGGAATCCTTCGCTGACAACAGAGGTTTTTACACATCTTTAACCTGAAGGGGAAATCTCACAGTGAAGACATATGCACTGACCACTTTCCTCAGTTCAGTATAAGGTCACACATGAGAATGACTGTACCTTCTGAATTTAAGTTTTAATATGTAAACTTTACTGACTATTCAGTTTCCTTAAGATGAATTACATTAAGCAGAGTAACAGGAAGAAAACAACTCACTTGTGAAGTGTTATACAGAATCTTCATCCCATTGGCATTGATAAAGGCTTTTCTTCCCAACTTGATGTTTGTAACACTTTTTAAGCTCTGCAAAATTCCTTTCCGAATAAGCATGTTTCTATGTCGATTATCATGGCGGTGCCAATCTACATAAATTGTTAAAAGCACTTGGACATATCCTCTGTCTACAGCTCTCCTGGCATTTGTTTCTTTAACAAAAGAAAATTGAGAAAGGATATACTTTAAATGACAAACAGAAAAGGGTAGGATAAATCAATTAAAAATATAAATCAATATTGTGATGAATTTTCATAATCTTCTTCCTGGATTTTTGCCTGCTTTGAGACAGGGTCTCATGTATAGCATGGGACTTGCTATATTACTGGGGCTCACCTCAAATTTGTAATCCTCCTGCCTTAGCCTTCCAAGAGCTGGAATTATAGACATGTGCCACCCATGTGGCTGAATTCTTATAATTCTTATAACCTGCCTCCAAAAAAGGCAACATTTAAATGTTTTTCTAACATAGAAAATGACAAGTTCTAGAAGACCTTGCTAACATTTTCCAGCAATTCCTTGCCCATATAAATATTTGTAATTTTGTAATTTATAAATATCAAAATCTCTTTAGTAAAATTAGGTCATCTTTTAAAATACATTAATAAAAGCTTCATGTATTTTAAAAGTTATGAATATACATACTGACCATATATTAAAAGTAATTTTAAAACCTTTAACCTACTGTGAATATAATTTTGTTAAAAGTCATTATCACTTTTGTTAATTTCTATTTTAAAACTGAGTTCCTACTGAAATTAACCCCATTGAATTATAGCTCCCATTAACAAACTTTGTTTCCATGGAAATGAATTGCTCAAATAAACTCAATTATATAAAATCAATGCCATAGTAATACTAATTTTAAAATGAACAATTTTTTTAACAAATGAAAGGTAAGGAGCATTACATAATTAGAAAATAGTGCTTTCTGGGCATTAAAATTTTTAACATAATGAAAAGTATATTGAAGGTATTATATAAAAGATCAATTTTATTAGAGTATAAATTTTTGGGGGTACTGGGAATTGAACTCGGGTCCTTGCATTTACTTGCAAGGCAGGTGGTGGCACCACTAGGCTAAATCCCAGGCCCCTGGAGTACAAATTTAACCTAGTTTTGTTTTTTTTTAAAGTATCAAATATTAACCAAAAAATAGTGTATTTCACTAAGATAGAAGCAAGGAAATTGTATTACAGCAACACACCAAGCCACCCAGGGCTACTTTTGTGAATCCATTATAAGCACTACAAGATAACGGGTTGAAGTACTTACCCATTTGAGGCTGTGTAGTTGCAAAAATACATTAATCTCTTAAATTTCCATGTACCTATAAAATGACCCCAGCCTCAAGATATGGACACTAAGATGACACTCACTTTAGATGCCTGAGATAATTACAGTTTCCAAACTCACTAAAATACAACACTGAGATAGATTTACTAATTCCCTTTCATTACATTCTAATATTAGAGAGGTAGAAGCAACTCACCAGGGAAAGAAAGTATTCTTATGTGAAAGTTTTCAAACCTCTTATTATATCTAAAATAGCTTGCTTGCTAAGACTATGACTTAATGTCATAAACTGTTTTGACCAACTAAAGTTTTATATAAACAAAGATGTTAATACCAATCGAAATATGTAAGCCTTTAGTTTACTAGCTGCAAATATGATTTTCTTAAAAGACATTATGATCATTGCAACTATTAAAAACTTTGTGCTTCTGCTAGAATTCCCAATGACTGAAACAATATTTATAAGAAATGTTAAAACTATGTATGAAAGATCAAATAAAAAACACTGCCATAGTTCAAACACAGATGCTGAGGTGACCCTTAAGGGAAGTGAACAGATCCATCTATAATCTGCATTGAGCAATATTATACCAGATAAATGTGTTCAGGGCACAAAACTCCCCATAAGCATGTCTCCTCTTCTTCCTTCTCTAATTAAAATTTAAGTTTAACTTTAGGCTGAGTTTAATCCACACATCAGCAATAGCAGTTTAGCTGCCCATTTTTACATTCTTTATACTATTCAATACCTTATATTCTCCCAACATTTATCTTAGTAGTTGAATTTATCCTTTAAATACAATGAATCTTTAAATATATAAATAAATGAAGAATGCTCCAAAATGCTATGGCCCATTTAAAAATGTGCTACAAAAAATTACTCTGCATTATTAAATTTCATCCTGTTCAAGGACATTTTGTCATTTGAAAATATATTAAACTACTTGTCAGTTACATTTTTCTATCCCAGTGGCTAACAGGTATATTTATCCACCAACCTCCTTTGTAAAAAGAATGGAAGGAGTAAAAGGAAAACTACTTAAAATTGAAGATACAAAATTTCATCATCTTAGATTAACTGATTTCTACAATATACTTGAAACTTTTGAGAGTGTTAGTTTTTACTAACAATTTATTTATTTGTCATTAGTGATTCTGAAATCAGTAATCTTTAATAAAATTTTAAAGCTATTGTGATCCACTCCAAAAGTATGTGTCTCTATTAATTTAAGGATTAGTACTTAAATAGCTTGAATTACACAGTCAAAGCACATCAAAGCCAAGACAGAATACTGTTTGAAGTTAATGTGATTTCATTCTAAAGTTTATCACACTGCATATGAAAATAAAACAACATAGCTAGCCTACCATATATTTCAAGAATGAAACTGTCAAATGAGAACTCTATGATATAATAATACCTAGGTGATTTTTTTTTTTTTTTTGTACCGGGGATCAAACTCAGGACCTTGCACTTGCAAGGCAGGCAGCAGAACCACTGGGCTAAATCCACAGACCATATCTAGGTGATTTTTTAAAGTTAATAAATCTTTACCAAGTAACAGATTTTCAATCAATTAATCATGCGATTTAAATCCAATTTAAAAAACCAATTCCAGCAATTCAAGCTTAAGGGCATTAGCCTCACCCTTGATAGCTTAACAACTGCCTGTTAATTAAAGGTCGAGAAGATGGGACATATGAAACTCACCAACAGAGATGTTTGAGACTATTAACACTGAATTACTAACTTTAATTAACCAATAATCCACTATCTTATTTACAATAAGATACTGAGTATCCTGGACAGTAAAAAACCATAAATGTATTGACTATTCTCCAAAAGACTTCAGTTCTGAAGATGAACAGGAGTTTTATTTTGTAATGAATTTCAGTCGTAGGTTTAGACTGTCACTTTTTTAAATGTTATAAATTAAAATTTATGGTAGAAACAAAATTCTAATGAGAGCTTTTAAATTAAAACCATGTGACACATAGCAATAATAGTTGTTCAAAACAGTTCTCATATTAAAACTTTTCAATGTCAAGTTAGTTTCATTTTTTCAAAACAATGATGCATGACAGTTATTTTCCTTTTCCTAAAAATGGGAAATAAATGTGCTTGAAAAAATTATATAAATGTACTGGATAAAGTATAGCTCAATAAACATAGGGTATTAGTTATGACAGCAACTGCACAAGAATTTAAAATCAATCTCAACATTAGAATATGATAAACTAGCTTAAAAGTGTAGACTAAATTGTATTTCCAGTTTCTTTAACATAGTAAATAGAATGTTCAGAAAAAAAGAATCTAGTATTTCTAGTATTTAAAAACTTACTTGATTTTAGCAATGCAGCAAGAGTGTCTAAAGCAACCCTGTCAACACAACAAGAAAACACAAACAACAACAAAACTAGTAAAATTAATCTACAATGGTAAATTCATACAATCTTTCAGATAAATAATTATTCTAGTATCTATTCCAAGATTTACTGTTATTAGAGCATCAATTACATATGGTATTTCTCTACATGCATTTCTCCCTTCAGCTTAAAATCAGAAAGAAAACAGATATAGTGTGTAAAAAAATGTTAAGACAGAAAAAATACTAACATTGTTTAATTAAGTCTTTCTGTCAGAAGTTAAATGAATGCTATCTATTGTTGTACTGGTATTGACCTGAAAGAGTTCACAAAGGAACCACAATGTTAAGAACAGAAGGCCCAGAGTGGCAAAGGAATTAAGTACAAGGTTTAACACAGAATAATTTTATAACTACAAAATTCTATGTATATTTTCACTTTCTAGCATTTAAGTATTTGCATTCTATCAAACTACAATCCTCATACCTAAGCCAATATCTACTATAAAACATTGGAACGTGGAAGTCTGGGAAGAAGAAAGAGCCCTAATATCTTTTAGCTACAAAGCACCAAAGAGAATAAATAACAACACTAATTATTATCTACAAAACTCCTACTGCCCCTCAAAGGACAAGGGAATAGCCCTATAGACTGAAAACATATATATTTGTGCTCAGTTACACATAGTGAAATCAGCTGCCATTAACAAGCTATAAAAGTGTATATTATACCATTATGGAAAACAAAATAATTTTTCAAAAATGAGTTACTAAAAAATGGCACTTAATTTCAATAACTTTCAAAATATAAGGCTACATATTATAGTACCTCTTAAAAGATGTCAGTAATCATAATTATTTTGTATTAAAATATGTAATTACCAATTTAACTAAGCATTCACCCACTATCAAGCATTTGTTGAATGCCTACTAGATACCCACAGTAGCAATTTCTTCACAGGCATAAAATTAGAAAATAAACATATCTCTTCCACAGATAATTGTATAATCTACACAGTCTACAAAAAATAGACTTCAGAAATTAAAACCAAAAACAAGGCAATAAAGTAAAAGTTGACACATTAATGGTAAAGGAGAGGTAGCACAAACAGATGGTAAAGGAAAAAAAGAATAACTGATTAAAAGATTCAAGAGGGATGTTGGTTCATAGTGAAACCTGAAACAGTAATCCATGACTAGGCACAAAGTAAGTGTTCGACAAATGCCCAGTAAGAGAAAGTTCTTATTAAGTATACTTTGGCTTGACACCACCAATAAAGCAAACATGTAAACCTTTATTTATAATAATACACATAAAACAAAAACAAAGTATGTCCATTTTCAAATATTATATATGTGTACCTATCTAAAAACAATGTGAAATGCTGGCAGTAATGAGTTAAAAGTAAGTGAACATTTCAGAACTATGTACTGAATTTTCACCACATGAATGAAATCATCAGTGACAAACATTATACCTTTACAGCTGTGCAATAAAAAAATACAGGAAACTGAAAATTTATCAGAATTGGGGTGGATAAGGATGTCTTTAAAATCAATCAATCTTAAAACACAGAGCTAAATGGATCTTCCAAATGAAACTGCTCTTTTTCATTTATTTTTGGTTTTTTGTTTGTTTAGTTTTTTTCTGTGTGTGTGTGCCAGAGATCGAACTCAGGACCTAGAGTATAAGAGATAGGCGCAGGACACCACTGAGCTAAATCCTGGGCTGAAAATGCTCTTTATAAAAATCAAAAGGAATAGAAGAAATGGCTCAGCAAGACTGATAAATGCCAGGCACCATTCTAGGTGCTTCCTATACATGCTTTCTACTGTAATACTTAAAACAATTTTAGTTTATAGAATTGGCCTGTTTTATGGATATGGAAACTTTATAACATCCCTACAGTTACATAAAAACTCAATGATAATATACATAATATAATCCACTTGTTGAGAAAGAAAGTTATGAAGGCAGAAATGTTTCCCTTTGAGAAGACAACCTGTAAGGCCAGGTAAGGGAGCTGAACTCAGTGTGCCACAGCCTCACCTCACTTGCTGCACAGCCAGCATAGTCCTTCTCCCTGTCTGCCTTGGTTCTCCTGGAGGGTCCAAGATCAGGGGGTAGGCTGCAGGGTCTACACCCAGGGAACGCCTTCTACCCTGGCACCAAGCATCATTCTCAGATGATGACTATGCACCCAGCACAAAGGGCTGCTGCTGAGGACTTCTCTAGTGTTTGAGCACAAGGGCCAAGTCTCACCCAGGAACCGGTAACTCTGTAGCCACTGTGGGCCTTGCTTCCGCCTCTTCTGGAAGGTCTTGAGAGTTTCGACCCCTGTCACAGTGACCGGTGAAGTGAAGACCTCTCCCTCTGGAAGACACGACAACTCCTTTCTCGGGATGATAAATGAAGATTAGAGTGCTACCCTTGGGAATTCCCAGAGGTTCTCACTCACCATACAGAGGAACCCTAAGAGCCTGCTGCCTAGAAACACTTCCTGTCTGATGTGCAAGGGGCAGACCGATACACTGACCCTTCAAGGAAAAGTGCAGGGGCTCAGGGCCAGGCAGTATTATCTTACCCTTGAAAACTGGGCCACACTGTGCAGTCCTTTTTCTATGTGTTACAAGTACAAGATTACTCAAGAGGACAACTCCACGAACTTGCCAGCTCAAAGGTTTGCACCGTGACGACCCTTAGAATGTACACAACTCAAGATTTAAAATCTTTCTATGTAAATGAGTTATGAATTCACATGGGAGTAAATGTCACTTTAACATGAGTAATACTGAGGGCCAGGGATGTAACTCGGCAGTGCTGTTCCTGCCAAGCAAGTGTAAGGTCCTAAATTCAATCCCCAGTACCAAAAAAATAATAATAACAGAGTAAGGAACACTAGGCAGGAAAAACTTTATGGTAATCTTAAACTTGAGTAGAACACACCTGAAATAGATCTGTCAAGGCCAGATAAGAGACTTTATAAAATAGTAATCCTGAAACTATGGTGAGAAATTTTCCCTAAATCATAATATCAAACAGGAAAATTTATCTACAATTTCCCCATGTATAAGAATTTTTCTAAGATCTTTTAAGCATCAGAAAATTAACACAGCTGAGAAGTGCCATAAATATCTTAAGTATGGTAAGCATTTCTTTCATACATCAGAACTTCATCTTGACTGGAGAAGTCAATAAATGTGATGATTAAGCTATAATGATCATAAATATATATGTACAGAGCGATAGAGCATCTAATTTTATAAAACTAACACTACTACACCTAAGTGGGGAGACAGGGCCCAGTGCACTAACAGTGTGGTACTTCAACACCCCAATCTCCAACATCACATGGAATCATCATCTCATAGGTGAAAAAACCAAAAGCCTTTCCTCTAAATCAAGACAAGGATGCACATTACTACTTTTCATCAATATAGAACTAGAAATTTTATCCAGAGAAATTAAGTAAAAGAAAAAAAGATACACTAATTGAAAGAAAGAAACCAAATTATCCCAGTTTGCACCTAATAGTAGAACTGATAAATGAATTCAGCAAAGTAGCAGGATACAAAATCTACACATAAGAATCAATAGCTTTCCTACATACTAATAAGCATTTGCCAAGAAAGCAAACTCACAATAAAATAACTATGAATAAACCTTATTAAGGAAGTTAAGACCTCTACAATGAAAATTATAAAACACTGAAGAAAGAAACTGAAAATACTCAAAGGCAAAAAGACTTCCCATAAGCCTGGATGGGAAGAATTCACATCATTAAAATGTCCACAGTACACAAAGCAGAGTTAATGCTATCCCTTATCAAAACACCAATGACATTCTTCACAAAATAGGGGAAAAAATCCTAAAATTCCTATGTAATCAGCCAGAGCAATCCATCAAACAGAGCAAAGCTAGAAACATCACAATACCTGATTTCAAAATATGCTACAAGGCCAGGAGTGGTGGCACATGCCTGTAATCCCAGCACACTGGAGGCCGAGACAGGAGGGTTGCCACAAGTTCAAGGCTTGAACTACATAGTAAGACCTTGTCTCAAAAAACAATAAACAAGCAAACAAAATCAAAATATGCTATAGAGCCATAGTAACAAAATAGCATGCTACTGGCATAAAAACAAGACACATAAAACAATGGAGTAGAACAGAGGACCCACACATCTTCAGCCATGTGATTCTCAACAACAGTGTCAAAAACAAACACTGGAGAAAGGAAAGCCTCTCTTGCAAATGGTTTAGGAAAACTGGATAGCCACATGTAGAAGACTTGACTCCCAACTCACCCTGTGTAAAATGTAAAAATCAACTCAAAAATGGACCAAGACCTTCATGTGAGGCCTATGCCAGTATCTTGATGTGTTTCCTCTGTTTTCCTGCAGAAGACTCCAAAATTACAGCAAACAAAAGCAAGGACTGAGAAATGGGATTCTGTCAAATTATAAGCAACACAACAAGCAGAACAAGGAGACACCACAGAATGGGAAAGACTGCCAGCTACTCATATGACAGAGGGTTAAGACCCAGAATGTGTAAAGAACTGGGGGAAAATCCCAAAAAGTGATCTTTTTCAAAGAACAGGCAAACAATCTGAATACTTTTCTAAAGAGGAAAAGAAGTCATCAATAAATACAAATAAATAAATAAAATGAAAAAATGCTCAGTATCATTAGCCGTCAGGGAAATGTATATCAAAACTACAATATAATGACATCTCATCCCAATCAGAATAGTTACTGTAGAAAAATAAATAAATAACAAGTGTTGGTGAGGATGTGGAGAAAAAGGAACCCTGAAACATGGCTGAAAGTATAACCTATGGAAAAAAAGTATGGAAGTTTCTCAAAAAAAGTAATAGAACCACTATATGAGCCAGCTATGATACTCTCAGGTGTATATGTAAATAAAGTAAACATACAAAGAAATATTCTCCACTTCCCTGTTTACTGTACCTCTATTCACAATGGCTAAGAAATGGAATTAGCCTCGGTTC